ATTTCAATTAGTTTTTTTAACAATACAATAATGCTGAAAAAACTTTTGTTCGGGTTACTGATTGTATACAAATATTAAAAGTGATATTATCGCACATTATAACAAAAAAAAGTAGAAATATTTTAAAAGTATAAAAGTATTTTAATAAAGCAAAATAAGATATTGAAAAATAATTCATTATGGAATAATAATGACATTGATGTCGGGATAAAATTAACGATAATTAGGCTCGATTAAATGCAATTATATTAATCATACAAATTTTTTGTGTTATACAAAATACTTAATCTTAAATTTTTCATATCTATATTCTCTTATTTTCTCATTTTCAGAGAAATATGATTTCCAGAGAAGATAGCAGCACTAACATTGTGAAATTTTCAATTATTGCTTAATATTGTTAAATTTGATGATTTTAATGTTAAAGATCTTAAAAATTTAATTCAAATTGAAAAGGAATTATAAAACGAAATTCCTATATTTGCTAACATCACGGATTCATTTTAATCGAACAAATAAATCTCAGCTTTTAAATAAACAAAGAAATTATATTGCATATTTCTGATTTTTAAACTTATAAATATTTATTTAAAAATTATATAAATTTTGTTTTCAAAATTATAAATGGCTTGTCAGTGCAATTGTAATTTTAAAGTTTTAAATATATTTTGCATTTAATCGTGTTTTTTTTTAGATTTTTGAATGAAGTGGAAAAAGAAAGATTTTTTTTTTACTTAAACTTTGTTTGTGCTAAATATAAATTAAAGCAGTATTGCGTATTATGAAAAAAAACCGCAAACTTCGACCTGATACATCGGTCCCGTATTGTATCGGATAAAAAATTGTACAATGTTAATCATTCCGAATTGCATAAAATGGGTTTCGAAACGCAGAGAAAAACAAATCGTTTATCCAAAAAAATTTGAATACTTTTTGTAAACTTTTGAGGATAAGTATTACTCGTATGTGTTGAAATGTATAGAAAACTAGTAGTACTCTGAAAATTTTAAGAAATATGATAAAAATATTTATAATGTTATTTATAATGCCTGTTTAAAAAGAAATACGGACGTCAAAAAATCTAAATTTACATACTGAAATGTAACAAAAAAGAAAAATTATAGTTGTTTGACAATACAAGTGTCATTTAGTTTTGATTTCAAATACGGTTTAAATGCGGTTTCAAAACGTTGTTTTTGACAATACACGGAAATACTGCCAATTTTTTTTTTTTTAATTATTTTGTTTTTATCTAATATTTTATTGTATTGCATATTTTTTTTTATTATTATTATTATATACTTATGTCTACTTTATAATAAATTTATATTTGTTTATGTTTGTTTATAATAAATATGAGTTTTGTAAATTAACAATTTCATTGAATTTTAATCGAATATAATAAATTCTGGCTTTAAATTTAATTTGTTTTTTTTTTCTTCTCTGTAAATAATTATTGTTATTTTAAGATTTTAATTATAATAAATATAAAATATAAAAAAATAATTTTCTTCATTCATTATTATTTTAAATATTGAATAAATATACATAATATGTGTACGTTTTTTTTTTTTTTGAATATGTGAAATATATTTATTTTATATATATAATTTTATATATATAAGTATTTTATATATATATAAGTATATCAATAGTGGGTATGTAAATTTTATAAATTAATTATATAATTTTCATTTAATATTTTCATATTTTTTGTAATACAATGTAAACTAAAATTGTGTTACATAATATGTTTTTTTTTATACAAATTAAAATTAAATTTTATATTTAATATTTTTTTGTTTTTCTCTTATCAAAATGTGAAGTTTTTTTTAAATACATTATGTTTTGTAGTTTTATTCTTTATAAATATATATATTTCTATTTATATATATATATATAATTTCTATATGAAATTTACATTTTAATTTTTTAATTGTCTAATAATAGTATAAAGATAATTTTTTATTTAAATTAATATTGTGTAAAAAACATTTAAAAAAAAACAATATAATAAAAAAATAATTATAAAGTTCAACACTTTAACAAATTCATTTTTTTTTCTTTTTTAATTTCTCTTTATATATATATATTTTTTTTTATTTATTTTAATTAATTTTAATAGTAAATATGAAAAACAATTATAAATATTAATTAATTTTTATATTTTAATAAATTTAAATCTGGCATTTTGTTAATATTTTGTTACATTTGTGTTTTTTTTTTAATTATTTTGTTTTTAGTATAAATTAAACCACTCGATTTTATTCTATATTTTATAATAATAATTAACTAATTATATATTTATTAACTAAAATTCTTATACATATTTTTTATATTTAAGTTAATAATTATAAATAATAATAATAATAAAATATAATATATAAAAAATAATTAATTAATTAGAAGGGTTTTTGTTAATAAAAAATAAAAAAAAAAACAATAAACAAAATTATAATTTAATTTTAACATTTACAAAGTTTATTCTTAATGTTTTTATCTTAATTTATCAAATTTATATTTATAATATATATAAATTTTATGAAGTTTTTATATTAATGCGTTTTGTTAAAATTACATAATACTTCATAATGATTTTTTTTTTTTTGTTTTTATTAATATGCATTTAAAAATATAAATTTTTACCATTAATATTGCATTCTATTTTATTTTGTATTAATATATATTATATAACATGTATAACAGTTTTTATTAACACATTATAAACATATTGTTGATACAGAAATATTATTTCTATTAAGTATTTATTTTTAATAAATTATTAAATTTTTAATAAGTAAATTTAATAAATTATTACTAATTGTATGTAATAATAAAGTAAATCAAAAATTTTATTGAAATAAGGGTAAATGATTTTTATTTTTAACCTATATAAAAGTTTCTTTTTTTTTAATATTTTAACATGCAACATTTATTTCTTTTTCATTTTATATTAAATGTTTTATTAATAATATTTAAAAATCTTTAATTTTTATACAAATAAAATTAAAAATTTTTTTTTTAGTATTTTTGAAAATTTTTAGAACAGTTTTATATATAAGTATTATATGTATTATATGTATATGAAACATGCAAGATAATAAATTATTAATAAATTTAATTTGCTATTGAGAATATCAAATTCAATATATTGTTTTCTATGTACTTTTACTATCTAAATATTGTATTTTTTTAAATTTATTTAATAAATAAGTTAAAGATTTATGTTTAACATATATAAATGCTATTATACAAGAAGTGGTGATAAAAAAAAAGTAAGATGAATACCTATAATATTGTTTTGAAATCAGCATTTGAACGAAAATAAAAATTAAATTGAATAACACCTAAAATAGCCGCATTATATTATTTTCTATGTAAAGAAATTGGTAAAAAAATTTTCAATTTGAAGTTTAGTATAAAATCAATTTTTTCTTCAAATTTAGATAAAAAATTTATTTATATTTTATGATGTTTTCTTTTGAAAAATTTGACATTTTACATAATGGTTTTTTAACATTTCTTCTATTTGTCACAAAATATGTCAAAATTTCTGAACATGAATTTAAAAGTTTTTGCATATTTTGGTGTTGAAAAAGTACTTCAAATTTTTTACATGCGGTCTATAAAACGATAAAATTTTATTTTTAAAGAGATTGTGCTGTAGGTATGCTTAAACATTTTCATCTTAAAACAATATATTTTTGAACATGAATATTTAAATTTCTTTGGCATCTGTCATCGTTGTCACAAAAAAGAATGATTGAGAGGAAAAATGAGTGAATCATAAACACATCTGTATTATTCATTTTTTCAACGATTACAGTGATTTCTTTTGCATATAAAATTAAAATGACTATATAAACTATTTTTGACAGTTAATTTTTTAATAATGACACCAAAAATGAATGATAAGTTCACAAAAATTTGAATGATGAAAACTATGATGACAGACCCCTTATTTTTAAGCTAAAATTATTTTCTTAATTTTATATGATTTTAATGAGTTAATAGGTTTGACACGAAGGATATTGCTGTGGAAAATTTATATGTATGTATGTATGTACATAATAATATTTCTAGAAACCATTATTTTTTTTTTTTTTTAAAGATTAGAATAATTTAATTGATTAAAAAAACTTTGTAAAAATCATTTAATGTTTTAAAATTTTAAAACAAATTACAGGTAATTTTTTGATTAAAGGTTAGAAATATTGTTAACGAAAATAAATTATTTTTAAAATTGCATTAGTTTGAGTATTTTTAGAAATAAAACGAAAATTTACATTACATCGATTTTAAATACATACTATGAAACAATAATTAGCGATTACTTATTCACTAAAGTATTCTGAACAATTAAGAAAATGGATATGAAAATGATGAATAAGACCTGATAATAAAAACTTTTCAGATAATAATTTGGCACTAAAATTTTCATTACATGAATTACATTTTTTATATTGCAAAATAAAATTGACATTTGAGTTAATTTCAATTAAATTAGAAAAGTTTGTGTAAATTGTGCATTATATTCATAATAAGAAAATTAATTTAATTATTATGTTGCACATTTATCAAAAAATTATCTATAATCAAAGATCGATCTTTTCCTTATTTTTCTGAAGCAATTTTATGAAATGCATCATTTTCTTTTAATGAGTTAAAATTCTCTAAAAATTCATTTACCATTATTTCATTATTAAATTCATAATTTTTATTTGCTGAAACAGAATCACGGTTCTCAATATTAATATTTTTCTTGAGTGTATAACTAACATCAGCTTTATTATTATGGTTGTTACTTTTAAAATTGTTATTATTATCGAAAAACAAATCGTTTTCCGAATTTCTTTTATTTTTATTATACTGTTTTGGTGGTTTGTTGTGATTCTTTTCCAAATTTGAATCAACATTATTATTATTAGTGTTATTGTGTCTATTGTTATCATTTTTAATATTTTTGTCAATATTATTATTATTGTTATTATTGCTGTTACTATTGTAACTACTATTTTCAATTTTTCTTTCTTTAGAATTATAAGAGATTATATTCTTATTATCTAATTCTTTAAAGTTTTTATCATGCTGATTTGTTGCATACGATGTTCTTGATGTGGTACCACTAGCGTTACCAGCGGAAATATTATCATAACATTGCTGATTTTGATGAAATTTCAATTCATTATATTTTTGATACTGCTGCTGAAACTGTTCTTGATGATGTCGTAAATGCTGAGAAAAAGATGAATGAATTATATTTTGTTTAGGAGATGTTATATTTTGTGGTGATGTGAGGGTGGCATTATTTGAAGTTGATGAAAATTGTGTTGATGCTAATGTTGTTTGATTCTCATCGAGATTCCATGGAAATGTATTTGATGTTGGAGGGCCAAATATTCTGTTATAATTCCAGCAAGTTAATTCTAATGGATTATATCATTCGGATGCTGTTTGGTTATTTTGAGCTTGTTGATGAGCAGCAGCTGCTGCAGCCGCTGCCGCTGCTGCTGCATGTTGCTGTTGCTGATGATGTTGTTGCTGTTGAGCAGCAATAGCAGCGGCTGCTGCTGCTGCCATTGCTGCTTGTGATGCTGCTGCAATTTGCGTCGCTGTAGGTGATTGGGATGAGACTTGGGCAGCAGCTGCCGCTACCTGAGCTGCTGACATAATATTATCGAATTTCCTAGTATCAGGATTATACATTGGATGTTTAAATTTACAATGTGTTCTTAAATTATCACTTCTTGTGTATGTAGCTCGGCATAATGGACATTCAAAGCGGCCGGGAAAATGTACATGATAATGGTTACGTATATGTGTAACAACTTTACCGCAAAGTTTACATCGATGCAAATTACAACCGCCAGATAATCGTTCAAATGTAAGGCGCATATGCCATGCTTTTGATCCTGTTATTGTGTTTGATCGTTTCCGATTGTTTGTTTTATTCATGATATTGTATTTGATTTTTGGTTAATGGAATTTGGAAGGTATTTAATTGTTTGTATTATAAGATTTCCGTATCGTAGGATTTTCAAATTTCCATGGTAACGCATAGTTAGGTGTTTTTTATTTCATATTTTGCAAAAAATAAAATAGGAAAGAAAAAAAAAATAGAAAAATAAAACAAAAATCACATTTTGTATGGTTTGGTTTTCAACGATATTGTTATAATTCAGAAAAAAAGAGTAGTAGTTATATCGGAAATTCGTGTGTTTATGGATTTATCTTAATATTATTTATGATTAAGGTAAAATTAAAACAAATTATTTACACATAAAACAAAATCAAAAAAGGTAACAAATTTTAATTTTAATATTTCATTTTTTTTTTGTGTATTTAAATATCAACATCAATTATTTAAATTTTAAATGCTTTAATCAACATGAAAAATATTTAATGCACATTTCTTCAAGATTGAATTTAAAATTTTAATTTAATTTTTTTCATTCACAGTTTTATAAGTAATTTAAACTTAACCAATGCAAAAAGGAAATTTTGGAAGGGATATGCAGAGTCTTAAGACAATGATTGTCATTGCGTAAAGAAAAAAAAATTGCAATAATGTTTCCTTTTTTTTCTTTTAAAGAAAAAATATCTGAAAATTGGCGTTCTTTGCAGTTTTAATAGTTTTTGATTAAACATCATTACCAATTTGTTGTAGATATTTAAACTAACAATTAAATAATGCAAATAATAAGAAACAATTAATTATGATCGAGTGTCAAATCGAATATTAATTAGGTTTCAGAACAATAAATAGTGTGTACATGTGTCATAAGTACAGAGATAGCCTTGTTAATAAAAGTTCATTCAATCATCGTTAGAGCCTATAGGGAAAATAAAAACAAGGTTTATGCTAACTTAATTGATTTGAGTATTTCAAATCAAATAAGTGATGCGGGTAAATCAGAGTCAATAATAAAACAATAATAAAAGAAATTCGATCTAGAAAAAAATTGAATTTTTTACTAAATTTTTGTTATTTTACTAAAAAATTTTAATATTTTACTAAATAGTTTTTTCTTTTTAAATTTCTTTTTCTTTTTGTCTACGCATTATGTAAATATAAATGAAAATTGTTTTTTCGTAAGAAAACAATTGTTTAAAATAGGAAAACAATTACACTATACACTAAAAATTCTTTAATAAGGTTATTTTACCAACGACGGTGAAATCTGCGGTCGTTCGAGGGGTATTCTAAATGAATTTTGAGATTTCGTCGCGGTAAATTACTTGTGTTCTGTTTTCAACTAAAGAGTGTCAAATGTCAAAAATTTACAACATTATGATCGTGCGTCATTTAACAAAAAAATTTCAATCAATTTAAAATTTAAAATTTTAATCTTTTTAAAAATAATTTAAACGAGGTTAACTATTCTTCTATTATTTTTCTATTTGTAAATAATAAATTAATAACATTAATTCCAAAAAAAATTTATATTCTATTTTAAAGAAATGTGCAATTTTTCTTTTAATTATCAATTTTATATTGTTGAATTTTTGAAAATTTTAATAAATAATTGTGTGTATCTAAAATATTTTACTTTAATTTTATGCATTTTTAAAAATTTTTTCAACACCCCTCCATCCAATAATACTTATGTATGTATATTTTTTATTTTTGCATATATACATAAGGGTTTTATATAAATGATAATTACATAAAAAAATTTCTTTTTATTTTAAAAAATTTTCTTTATTCGGTTAATATAGTTAACAAAAATTAGTTACCATATATAGAAAAAAAATAAATAAAAATGAAATATTAAAAAAAAAAATATATAATTTTCTTCATTTTGGGTTTTATTTGAATAAAATTTTTAATAGTTAAAAATAAAATATAGAAGAAATATACAGTGAATTTGAAAAAAACAAAATTGCGATCAAATTTATATTAAATATACAAAAATTTCGTAATTATAGTTATTTAAAATAAACATATTTTATTAAATTGAATTGAAAGAAAGAAATCATTAGAAATTATTTTTATATTTATATAATAGTTGAAGTAAATTAAAAATATTTGGAAAATAAATTATGAACCTAACACCAAGTAAATCCCAAATAATATATTTTAAATGATATTTAAATTTAATATTGAAAATTTAATAATTAGTTTAAAAAATTATTTTAAAATTTATTTTATTTTTATATCAAATTTTACCTACCCAAAATATGTTCTTATTTATGAATTTATTAAAATATTTGAGAAAATCTCATGAAAATTTCATAAAAATATAGAAAATAATTTTAAAGTGGAATTAAGAACTTTAATTGTTTGATGAAATTTAAGATTTTGACATATAATTGATAAAAATTCGAAAATTCCTTAAAACACATACCAACACATGTAAGTACGTTTTAAATTTTTTGACATTATGCATGACATTTTATTAAAATTTTTAATTATTTAACGAAATATTTTGAATAGTCAGATTAAGATTGATAATAATGGCCAGATAATTGATAATAATGGCTTAAACTGCTAAAGTTTTCATATGCTAAAGGTCAACATAAAGTTATATATATGTATGTATGTAAGACTGAATATTTGTTTGAATAATGTATCGTTTTTAAAATGTGTATTTAGGGCTTAAATTATCGTAATATGTACATATATGGATTCAGAATCGATTTTATCTCTCAAATCGATTTAAGCCTATAATTATTGCTGCTAAAAACTTTTTACTACAGTGGCATTTAATGTACATTATAGACTTTTTTGAAACGACTTACCAAATACGAGACAATTTAATTGCAGTTCTTATCAATTTTTCTTATTAAATACATATACATATATAAAATATTGAGCTCTTATTAGTTTTTTTGAAAATATTTGTATTTAATGTTTGAAATTATTTTTTTTTCTTTTTTATAAAATTCATTATTGAGACACTGTTGGAGGATATACTGAACTGAAGTCTAGAAAACTGAAGTTTCTTTCTTTTTGAAAGAATATAATGATTTTTATTTGACTTTCAAAATTTCACAAAAATAATTTAATATAGGTATATCCAAAATGTTTAGTGTTGTGGCAGTAAAATTTTAAACGAAATCAAAAATTTCGAAAGCAAAAGCTTTTTATTTGTTTTTATTGCTGTTTGCGAATTTCTTAACACTAATTTTTGGTTTTAATTTCATATTAAAATTTTTTTTTGTATAACTAAATGTCAACTATTATAATAATTCCTTTTTTACTAGGTTGATTTTTTTGATTAATAATTTCTTAATTGACATTTGATTTGACAGATGACAACTAATAAAAATATGTTTAATAAAATATAAGATTATGATTTGATTAAAATTCACTGTATATAGATTTATACGAAATTGTTATTTCATTTAGGATAACTGTATAAAAACAAAAATTTACAATTATTTATTTATATTAATATAAATTATAATATAAAAAATTATATAGATTTAAAATCCCAAAATCCATTTATAAAAAATTAAAATAAATTAATGTTATCTTTAAAAAAAAATATATAAGGTAAATGTTTAATGATTGTGTGTTTTCAATAGTCGGATTAGAGGGTATTTTTGGTTGATTTGAAATTGCTTGTATTCTATTTTTTTTTTGATTTTTACATAAAATTCATACGAAAAGTAAAATAAAAAAAGGTATTTTGTTTTGCTTTATTTTGTTTTTTGGAAAATTCTTGTTATTATTATTGTTTATTATTAAAATTTATTTATTATGTATATATTAATTTATTTTTTTATATATATAGATATAATAAAAATATTACACATTTCTTAATTAATTTACAATAAAAGGAATTTTATTTTTGACTTTTATTTTCATATACATATAGTTAATAAATTCAAGATTATAATGTGAAATTTTATTTAAAGTAAATAAAATTTGCAAAAAAAAAAAATTAAATAAATAAAATAACATAAGAGTATTTTTTGATTTTTTTTTGCTGTATATAGAAAGATAAATCATTAAATTATATAAGTATATAAAAAAACCAAAGTTATATTGTTATAAAGTGAGGTTAATGTTATATAGATTTTTAATTAAAAAAAATATGTTTTAAATGAGATAGCATTATAAATTATTAATAAAAAATATATATATATATATATATGTTTTATTGCTCTGAAAAAAAAACTGCTGTTAAAAAGTTAATAATAAAATAGAAAGCCATATAGTAGTGATCTCCTCTGAATAAATTGGAATTTAAAATTGGACTTAACCTATTAGGAACCATCATAATCCTCTATAGTTGGGGATTAAAACGAACAAAGATTTTCTAATAAATATATTAAAATTTCCAAAAAAAAAATATAAAATTACATTAAAAAAAGGAAAAAAAATTTATTCCCTAATGGATTAAAAATATTTAAAATTAAATCAATATATAGAAAAAAAAAATTATATTGTATAACACTTATTAACATGTTAAAGAAAAAAACAAAAACAGTGACTTGTTAATAATTGTACAACAAATTATTGCTGGGAATCAAAATCAAATACTTAAATTTACTTGACGTTTCTTTTTTAAACGTTTCTAATTATTCACTTTAAAAACTTTATGTTCAATAAAGTAATTTATATATTATTATCGAACAGTTAGTAGATTCACGTGAACTTAATTTATCCAGTGTACATTCGCTTCCTCTCACTAAAATAGATTATTTTCTTTTCATTTGTTCCGCAAATATATTAAAAATTTCAAGATTGAAAAAGTTTTTATAAACGTGTTGTTGTCAAAATTTAGAATACTTTTAGTGCCTGAAACCTTCATTTAAAAATTTTGTGAAAGTTTCGACATTGCCAAAAGTTTTTGTTTTATTATTAAATTTAAATTTTCTTGTTTTTAGTCCCTCGTTTGTCATTTCTTATTAGTTGCCTTTTTTTTTTTTTTTTTTGAAGTTCTTTTCACGACGCAATTACAATAATATTAATTGATATGTTTTTATTTACGTGAATATAAGATTACAAACTACCGACTGGGCATCTGTTTTATATGGAATCCTGCTTTTTAAATGTAAAAACAAATTTTTACATTAAGAAGTTGACGTTTATTTTCTATGTAAAAATTGTGAAGCCATCTACTCAAATAAATTTGCACAACTATACTTTCTACAATATTATTTTTATATCCAGGCTGATATATTTGGTAGTGTTATACGTTTAGAGTGTTATACGTTCCTTAATAGAACACTATAATTAAATATTTAAATTAAATTATAATTACATACATAGTGGCACGTTATACTAGTATAATAAAACCAAAATAGTTTTCGATTTTTAATTTAAAAAAAAAATTAAAAGAAATTTTAAAAAAATATATTTAAAACATTAAGTATATTAAAATAAATATTTAAATAATGTTGAAAGAACTGGTTTCATTTTTTTATTTTAATGTACTGTTTTACCTATTAAAAATATATTAAAAAAACAACAATTTTATTAAATTTATTTAAATTTTATTAAATTTATTATAAATTTAAATTTTATTTATTTTATTAAATAAATTTAATAAAATTATTTGTTCATAAAAATATAATTGTTATACATATAAGATTTATTACAATCGATTTCTAATATACAAAAAATACAAGTATAAATTGTGAAACTTTAATAAAAATTTGTAAAGTTTTTAGGGTTTTTCTTATTTTCATTCAAAATAACAAGATATTTAGTCAAATATTAAGCATTAGTAGTAGTAGTAGTAGTAGTAGTAGTAGTAGTAGTAGTATTTGCGCTTATATAACTCTATATACTTGCTATTATTTGCATTATAATACATTGAAATCTCTATATAACGAGCATATATTTTCAATGAACGACTTTCAGTAAGATTTTTTGGTTTTGAAGGCAAATTCTCTGTATTAAGAGATTATATAATAATGTTCGTCATAAACAAATAGAGATTTCATTGTATTTATAATAATTCAATTGTTCCTGAAATAAAATACTCTGTTAAGGTGGATTCATTGGCACGTCGCATTAAACGATAATCTACTTAAAAAGACATTCACATTTTTGTCATATAGATTGTTAGCCTCATCTGAAAGTTCTAAACTTATTTTTTTTTTATTATTTCATTCAATTTCAAAAGCCTCCGTACAAAAATTGAAGTTGACTCAATTTTTTCAGAGAGAGAGAAAAAGAACTACGCAGAAAATATAGAAAATGAAACAATTTCAAATTTTCATATAAAATATATGGGTGTGCATTA